AAGAGGTCTCGGTAAAATTCACGAATTAAATTAGGATATATATTTTCTGAGATAGCAGCCACATTGTCCAATAAATATTCTCAAAATATTCCTCTATCCTAAATGAAGAAGCTTTGGTAGAGAATTCAAAGAAATCAATGAACTTACCGATTAGAATGGGACAATCAGCGAAGCAGTCGGTCACGGGTGTGTCAACTTCAACGTTCGACGAGCTTGCTTCCCCTTTCTTTGATTTCATCTTTGGAGGCATGGGTATTTTCGGAATTTTTCAATTTTTGGTGAGAAAAATTTTTGATTTTTCAAAACTTGTTGAGATAACTAGTGAAAAATAATGGAAAAAGAGTGGGTAACAAACTTTTGAAGTGGATTAAGGCTTGAAAATCATTTGTAATGAAGTTTTGAAAAGAAATCAAGAGTTTTGAGTGAAATCCCATATCTTGAGATTTTTTATGAGAAATAGAATAAAAACTTGAGATTTTATGATAAAAGATATAGATTTTGTAAAAAGTTGAATAGATTTTGGTTTAGAAGATGAGAATTATGAGATTTTAAGAGAGAGATGAGAGAAAAATCGGACTTGAGAGTTGAAAAATTTGGGGATGAAGTTCTGGTGAAAAAGGAAGAGTTCTGGTGTTAAAAAAAGAAAAAAATTGACTTCCTCTCTGCCCATTTCGGTTGACCGAATTTCCGTCGGTCAATCGAAGAAATTTCGACTCTGCTTCTTTTGGTCAACCAAAAGTCACGAGTGTCGACCGAAATTCTAAAATTTTGAGTGTCTCAGTCCGTTTCGGTAGAACATGTTCGGTCGATCGAAATTATGAAATTAGTCAACCGAAATATACTGAATGTAATTATTCATTTTAAACATATTTAACCACAAATCTCAGATTCATCGAATCAAGAGCTAGAGGTTTGGTAAGAATGTCGGTCAATTGTTTATAGGTACTTACAAATTCCAAATAAATATCATATTTTTGCACATGATTTCTAAGAAAATGATGTCGAAT